TAAACTAAATTATTTTCAAAAACAATTATTGAAAATCCACAGGATAATTGTTTGTGAACAGAGGATAACCCCTGACACCATCTAAACCAAAAAGCAATGACTTCACCTAGGCATCCCTTTTTTCAAAAACATTTTTTTGTCACACACACCCAACAGAACCTCTGTCGGTGCTAAGCAACACAACAACAACAACAACGCCAACAATGAAAATGCAAAATTTAATTGTATTACCCAGATTTGAAGAAGACGAAACAATAACACAAAATCATTTCACAAAAAAGATGCCGATGTAATTCCTCGTCAATAGTTCTCAGGGTTTTACTCTCATTGTCTGTTCATCGTTTTATGGCAGTGTACCTGTTCAAATTTGTTTTAATTTAAATTCGTATTTTGTCACTCCCGCCGTTTTCTCACGAAACGAAAGGATGCCTATCCCAACAGTGTGTGTGTGTGTGCAAAGATCTTTTGAATCTTATTGTAATGCAAAGACCTCAAGAAAGCAATAGATCTTTGATTGTTATTGAATCCCACGCTATTTCGCAGAATAGAAATGAAATTGGGAAAACATAAATATGCATTAAATTGAATATCCACGGTAGAATTAAGGAGGCAACCATGGAATGTAATCATGGTAGAATTAGGAACGTTACCACATTCTATGAAAGATCTGCTTTTACTGTAATTTAAAGGTGAGAATACATAAAAGCCTTTTTTTGACTGTCTTAAGTCATCGGCTGGCTTCCTCGGAAAAGAACAAAGAAGCGTGTGGTCAAAATAGAACTACGCCAACCTAAAACTCCCTTTTAATTTACGAACATGGTAGAAGAACCTATATTCTTCTACCATATATCAGCGCTTGGGAACATTGATATGTCAAAATTTTTAAAATGTTTAATGAAAAATAAGTGGATTTTTTAATGTTTTTTATACGACGCAAATCAGAGGTTGTTATAATATGAAATTTTCAACAATTTTTACAAATTTTAATAATTTTTCATTCAACATTTTCAATTCCAAAATCGGTTTGACAGTCCATTGTCCCAGCAGCTGTGTCGATACGACTACCTTTATTCTTCTACCATGTTTATGAATATACATTTTGACAATGAAATGTCATCACATGTTTAATGAAAATAATGGGAATATATGATTGTACGAGGTTACCTTAAATCAATTCTGCCATGTGTCGATGGCACAATTAAATAGGAAATCAAATTTGCCAAATCAGTAATGGCAACCCTTTTTATATTGGAAGTTTTAGTACGTTTACATTTTAACGGATTTGATAAACCTAGTAGATTTAGATTTAAAATGCCAATTTTATTGGATATGCGTCACATAATATAGGTTAATCAATCAAAAAGTTATAGCTTCAACATATTTGCTCTGTTTCGAAACCCAAATTCAGCATTCACCACTTTCGGCCAAGCGAAACAACTCTTTAGCTCTTTTGACACTATTGTCTTTCTATTGTGGTGTAAGTTCTTGCACTTTTTGGAATTTCAATGAGTTTATCCCGAGCTCATTTTTTAATATTTACCGAATGGAATATTGCGATATGTTCAGCTCACGAGCCATTTTTCGATCAAATCCCTTTTTTATTTTTCGAACCATTTCTGCTGATGTTGCTATTTTCTTCCGTCCACTTCTCCACGCTACCAGTAACACGGTAACGAGCGATGGTACGAGACACAAAATATTTATTCACTTTTAAGTACTGGAGTGCTCTAACGATAGCCACTTGTGGTTTTCCAGCCAAATATAAAGAAATCACACTATCACGCTTGAATTCCATCACGAATAACTTTTTTTCTGGAAAATTTTTACCAAAATGCTTTTGTACGCTTGGAAACAATATAATGAGCTGTCACTGGAATAATTTTAACAGCTGTTGGACGAGTGAGTTATAAATGACAGCAGTCTGAAGTTGGCTGCAGTTTTTTCATCTCACCCTCTATATAGATTTGTTTTGTTATGCATTCATTTTTTTACGAACAATGGTCGAATTCATAAGGTAATCTCATAATTTTAAATTTTTTCCAAAATTATACATTTGATAACAACTCATTGTTAACCAGAGATGGAAACCATCTTCCAATGCATTTAAATTTGACAAGGTAAGTTACAGATAAAGCTGCTATCAGACAATAAGTGTTTTACATATGCGCTGTCACTTTTATTATCCGTGGGTGTGTGTGTATTTTCGTGTTATAACAAAATTTGTTATTTGCATATGACTCATAATTCTTGCTATCACACACTTCCATATGTTTTTTTATTTCCTTTGATCACATTGTGATAATAATGCATTTTCTGAATATTTATAATACTTTATGTATGACATTTTCCCCGCAAGTTTAATTTTATATATTTAAAAAAAAAAAAAAACAAACAAAACTATGATTAAAATTATTTTTTCCACATTAAAATAGGGCTCGATGTATAAACGTACTTTACTCATGTATTTCACAACTGAAACGTTGTCCATGTATCACACGATGTGTGCAAATTTTACACATTGGAAATTTGACACCATACATGTAAGAACATATCGTCTGATAGAGCCTTAATGCATCTACCATAGATGGAATGAAAACAGTTTTATTTACGCAAACCTTTTTAAAAATCAAGTAATAAAAAATCTAGTCATAAAAAATGTATAAAACTGCATTGAAAACGCTTCAGACATTCAAAAACATCCCGTTATTTCCTCAAAAAGTCACATTCCTCCAAGAAACCATTCCTAATCTTTACTTCTTGTTCCTTTCCCACAGATCACAAAAATCTCCGTAAAATAAAAAAACCACCACAACCTGCTAACATTTGGTATTACTCAAGAGAATCCTTTCACTTTTTATCCTTGTCATCCCTAGCCCCAACACATAATTAAACCCTCTTCAAAATCTCAAAAATCGCACCGTATGGATTTAACTTTTCTTCTAATCATTAAATAATTTCATTTTCATTAAATCTCTCCTCAAAAAAAAAAAAAAATAACAAATATCCTTTTCAAAATTTATTTTATTATAAATGCATCCTTATATTGCGTACATATTGTGTGAAACGGACAAGAAGAAAACAAAACACAACAATAACAACAGCAGCAATAATTTGGTGTAAAACGCAACTAATTGATAACATCCTACATCCTTTTTTCTTGAAGTGGCATTGTGTTGTTGTTGTGTGTTTTTATGTTGTTAATCCTTAAGTGAGTTTTCACCACGAAGGGAAAGTGTTGTTCCTTTTAATGTGAAGTGGTTGTCAGACAGTCTCATGAAGTTGAATTGAAGATGTAAATCTACTTCCGTTTTTTACAACAGGTGAAGTAATATTTCTATTTTATTTCTTAGCCAAATTCAAAATCGAGAAGGACAGCAAAATTGATAAACACAAAAGAAGACAAAGATAACAAAGAAAAGCTTCAGAATTCAAATCTGTGTTAAAAGCAGCTCAAGTTTTATTGCGATTTATTTATTTCAGTAATTATTTTTTGTATTAATAATAAGAGAAGATAATTAAATAAAATGGGAAAAAATAGAAAAATAAAAAAATAAAGTGCAATAATTCACCAAGATTTTAAATATTAAAAAAATCATTTTTTTCTACAATAATTTCAAATAAATAAGCTCCTGATAATGTGGGATAAGAGCCAACGACACGTCGAACAGTTAAAATAATTTTCAGTTAAAAATAAATTGACAAAAAAGCCAGATAAAAATCTATCTAGATCTATATCTTCATGGTAGAATTATGAAGGTAAAGTCATGCAATCATATGTTTACAATTTTTTTCAAAATTATTCATTTGACAACATCTTATTGTCAAAAATTTAATTTGAAAATCCATTGTATACACAGAAATCAGAGATGGGAACCTTTTTTTCTGTTCAGTGAAATTTGACAAGGTAAATTACAGAAAATACAGAGATGGTTAGTCTCATGGTACAATATGGAGGTAGAACAGTTAGTACAGCTCTGAGGCTATGTCCGCTTCTTGTCAGAATCATTATTATATAAAAATCATATACAACAGTAGTTTTCATTTTATTTCTCATTTTTAAAATAATTTAAATAGCACGAGAAATTAATAAATTGCCTGGATTATCTCTCAAAAATATATTCCAAACTGTTCAATCTTTCAATTTCCTGACTAAACTAGGTAATAGCTCGTGGTAGAAGAATACAGGTAAATGCATCAACGCTTGGGAACATTGATATGTCAAAAAATTGTAAATGTCTTTTTAATTATAAGAAGATTTTTATATGTTTTCTTGTACGACGTCATTCGGGGGTTATTATAATACGCGTTTTTCAACAATTTCTACAAATTTAAATAAGTTTTCATTCAACATTTTTAATTCCAAAATTGGTTTGTTCTACCATGTAATAGCTTTAATGCGCGAACTGCAATGTACGTGTCTTCCAATCATTGATTTTGAACATATTTTGTTTTCATTTTTTAAAACAATAAATACATACACAAAATTGACTGAAGTCGGACATACTTAGAAAAATATTGTAATCAGCTGGTAGTTATACCTTACATTTTTATTGTACCATGGATAGTCTTATTTAAAATTACTTTACCTTTTTAATTTTACCATGTAACTTTTAAACCCAGTGGGTTAATCTTCAATAGCATATTACAACGCTCTATTACATTCGCAATCTTATCATTCTTTCTTGCTTTTATTAAAATAGTTTTTATTTTATATCTGTCGATAAATTATTAACTGTGACAACAAATAAAAAAACATTTAATGAAATTATCTTCATTAAATAAAAATAGATAATTTACTCATTTATTTAACATATAAAATGACGTACAATTTCAGCCCCGCTTCCACAGATGGAAAAATTGACAATCTCTCTCTCAGACACATGTCGTCTGATACCGCCTTAAGAGTTAAAAGGAAATCAGCTGTTTGGCACTCAAATAGTGCAACCCGCCATTTTCTAACGGCGTTAATTTTTTTGCCAACAACTGGCCAAGTGATTTTCGTTTCGTTATCCTTACTCCCAGCTCTGTGCCGGTTTTTAAACGCAACTTCTTAAACATGAGAACTCCACCGACACATTTGTTAAGCTTTAACGAGCAAATTTACAATTTTGAGATATGTTCAACGGATTTTGCATCAAGTCTCATTTGTATTGCCTCCGATAAGAAGCTTATTTTGGGTTTAGCAAGATTTCCGGTAAGTCACTTTGGCTGTTCTCTTCGCCTAAAGTAAACAAATATTGAACTTGCCTCTCCACTCCATTCCAGGAAGAATCTGAAAATGATACCTTTGAATGGGAACGCCTGAAGGATATATACAATGAAAGTCGTTGCCATTCCCTTGCATTTCATCCCGAAACTTCATTGATGTCTGTCCCAAAGACCGTGACATTTTGTTCGGCTGGTGCTGATTTCATTTTGCGTATATTTCGTACCGACTTACAAAACGCTGACACTGTACAGGCTTTGAAGGCCCATACGAATTATGTCAATGACATTGCCTGGGATACGGAGGGTGAATTTTTGGCCTCGGTTAGTGATGATCACTCGTGTAAAATATGGTCCTCAGAATCACATTATGAAAATGTCATAACATTTTGTTTGTCCTCTGCCGGGATGTCGGTCAAATGGCATCCGGAGGAGCCGCATAAAGTTTTGGTGGCCGAAAAGAAGGGTGTTGTCCATCTGTATAATGTCCGATCACAACAGGCCATAATATCATTGGAGGCACCACGAGGCCCCCTAATGTCGGCCGATTGGTCTTTGAATAATTGCCATTTCATAACAGCCCTGGCCTATGGTGATGTTGTTACATGGGATTTGTTGCACAAACCATGTTCACCTTCGGATGTCAAACAGGTCCATGAAGATGGCGGTAGATGTGTACGATTTGCTCCCAACACTGAAATGGTTACGGCAAGCATAGGAAGACCCGATATTACTTTGAAGGTGTTTACAGCCAAGTCACCGGTACCTTTGGTGGAAGCGGGCCTGAAATTGTACGCCGGCCTCTGCTGGCATCATCGTCTGCCGTATGTGGCAGCAGCATATGATCGTAAGCTGGGTTTTTGGAAAGTCCAGTTTAAATAAGAGATTGGGTAAAAGTTGTACGTGTTTTATTGAATACATAAATTATTTTCTTTTTTTATAAAATTACAAAACACTCGGACACTTTTTTGTTTATTACACATTTAAGCACCGTTTACGGAAGCCAAGTATTCCTTGTAGCGCGTTTCTTGTTGAGCCTGAAGTTTTTGTAATTTCTTCAATTGACCTTTGCTAACTTCCTTGCCTTCTTTGTCATGAGTTGGTAGACCCTGGAAGTGGAAGGGTAAAAATTGATGAGCGAGATGGCAAAAAAATTAAAAAAAATAATTTTTTCTTGAATTTAAAGTAAAATTTTAAGGCAGAGAAAGGAAAAAGGCGCATAAAAAAATCTCGTAACAAAGGGAGATGTGTAAACCAAGTGAAATTCTTTCCTGTTCCAAAAATTTTCTAGATTCCTTAATGAAATTGATTCATCGGAATTTCATTCAACTCCACTTACATTTTCATCAAATTTCGAATACTTGTCGGTTTCTTTTAAAAACATTTCCTTGGGATTGATTTTCTTTTGGGCCTCCTTCGCCGCCGCTGCCTCAGCTGCTGCCTGCTTTTTACGTTCCTTTTCGGCCAAACGTTCGGCCTCGGCCAATTTCTTCTGTTCTCGTTCCTTTAAGAGAGTCTCTTTGTCCACCAATTTAACAGCATACTTTCCACCCTCCTTATCTTCCAAACGTACTCCCAAATTGGGTAGAACATCATCTCTGAGGTCGTCACACAATTTCAAAATATCTGTGGCTTTGAGTTGTTTGGCTAGTTCGCGGATTTGATTTCTAAACTCTGCCGTTGCCTCAACATAAGGCAATATGGTTGATTCCAAATCCGCAGTACCCTCTGCAGAGCCTCCTACAGGGAAACCTAAGGTTGTTTTCTGATTAATTGCACCAAAAATGCGCAACAGGTCGGTAATATAGCTGGCAATTTTGCGTAACAACAAACAATTCAAACGATCCTTGTTGTCGCGTATATAAATATTGGCAGCTGTTACCAGATCTCGTATAGCATCCAAGGCGCTTCGGGTATCAATGTTATCTAAAAAAAAGAGGATTTTTTTAAAAACTTTTTTTAATTCTTTAATGAAAAATTCTTTAATTACCACACAAGGCACTGTGCACAGCTTTCCGCGCTTCATTGAATTTCTTTTGAAGACCTGCTTCAACTTCCGTCCAGGCATCAAATTGTTTACGCGGCTCACTGGAGGTTACATGTCTAGTCAAGTCTTTAACGTTAAGGAAGAATTCCTATAAAAATTTAAATAAATTATTTACATATTTGATTGCTCTTTAGTTAGGCTCTGAACAATTTTTTGAGAAATTTCCAAGTCTATCGGTCAGCAGAGAGGTGAAATAGAAACTTGATTGCCCATAAAAATGTTCAGCGTGTCTGACTTTCGATTGTCAATTTCGCACTTACATTCAAGAAACGTTCATACTGTATTGCCATATCCATGGTATTGTCCGAATAATCCAGCGTATCCTTCCAGGAATGCAATAGAAATGCCAAACGCAATTGGCATGCTGAGTGTTTTTGCAGGGCCTGTTGGATGGTAATGAAATTCTTCAAAGATTTTGACATTTTGCAACCGGCTATGGTTAAATGGCCGGTATGCAGGAAATATTTAACCCATTCCGCCTCATCAAAGGCAGCTTCCGATTGGGCCAATTCATTGTCATGATGGGGAAACTTAAGATCTACACCTCCAGTGTGAATATCAAATTGTGGTCCAAAAATATCCGATGCCATAGCTGAACATTCAATATGCCATCCGGGGCGTCCTTTGCCCCAGGGGCTGTCCCACCAGGGTTCTCCAGCCTTACTTGCCTTCCACAGAGCAAAATCATTGGGGGAACGTTTTTCCGTTAACTTCTCTTCGCCCAGTGACAGATCTCCCTCACCTTCTTCCAGGGATTTTGTATCGCCATAGGCCTCAGGAACCAATTTGGCATAGAAATGTTTTTCCTTGGCATCAAAGGCATTGACGCTAAAGTATACCGAACCATTGGCAGCATAGGCCAGACCATTGTCAATAATACGTTGTATAAAGGTTATAATTTGGGGAACATATTCCGAGACACGTGTCAGGACATCAGGAGGCAAAATCTAAAATTACATGAACACAAATATTAAATTAAATTCAAAAATTAATATCTCTCTCTGACTTACATTCAACGATTGCATATCTTTGTGGAATTGATCTTCCCAGTAGCGCGGCAATGACTCAAAAATGGCATTGTCATTAATTGTTGAACCTTTCTTTAGATCCAACCAATCGGAAATGGGATCCTTGGCTTCGCTAAGATAAAAATCACGAGCCTTGCTAATTTCTTCTTGTCCACCCCCAGCCACAGCTTTGGCCAATAACTCCACGGCATTATTTAAACGATCATATTGTTTATCCAACATAATTTTCTTATCCGGGTCAGTATTTTTGGAGCATGTATTTTGAAACTGGGCCAAAACTGCACGTTGATCTTCCAGCAATTGATCCAAAGGAGCTGTCGTGGCTTTTTCTTTGTAGCCATCGTACAGATAGTTTTGACGGGCCCGTTTTATTATCTTATCATCAATGTCGGTGATGTTCATAACATAATGAATGTTGTAGCCAAAGTAATCAGACAGTACACGTCTCAAAATATCAAAGGAAATGTAAGAACTAGAAAAGATACAGAATGATTCTAATAAGAAATTTTCCACCGATTTCTTTTAATAATGTTCTTTGAAAATTACCGGGCATGACCCATGTGGGAGGCATCATAAACCGTGGGTCCACAGCTATACCAGGTGACATTGTTGCCATCCAGTGGCACGAATTCTTCTTTTTGTCGAGTCAAACTATTGAACAAACGTAATTTTGGTGCCTCACTGGCTGTTGGTGGCTGCCACATGGGCTGTTGACGTTTTGCCATTTCAAAAATTGGAACAGGAGCAGCCTACAACCAAAAGTAAATCGTCCACGTTACAAATTCCTCACAGACTCACCAACGAAGGAGATATATGTATGACTGTGCTCGAGTATATTGTCATGAGAGAATGTTGTTATTAGGTTATCGATAACTGTGATCAATGTATCTGCTGATGTCTCAAATAAGAATAGCATTCGCTTTTACATGTGTAATACAATTAATAAATTAAATAAGTGCAGTAAGAAACCACAAAATATGCTTTAAATGGTATTAATCAAGACGGATTCCGTTGAATAAACACGAACAAATAGTCAAAGAAATAAAGTTATCGATATCAGTATATAGTGTGTGAAGCTCCCTATATGATTTGACAGCCGGCAAAATAGTATTAGCAATTGGATCTCATAGTTCCTTTATGTGAATATTTTGAACTAGGTCTTTTGTGAACGATACATCATCCGAATAGCCGGGAAAATACAATAACAATTTATTTATTTCTAAAAAAAATATAAATGAACTGTACAATTAATATTTTTTTGTAAAGCCTGACATAATGATCCTATAATTTGCATTTAACTATCAAACTAAGAGTAGAAGAAACAACGAATATTAAAAACACAAGGCGTTGCTGAGAAGCCAGAAAAATGCTGTTTTTGCTCTTTTTTATTTCGATACTCTCCGGATGGTCTGCTGCCCAAGAAGCAGATCCAAATGGATACATTGCATATTGTCCATGCATGGGTGAGTTGTGAAGTATAATGACCAGTTCAATCTCATACTATTTATTTTCCACTTAGGTCGTTTTGGAAATCAAGCTGATCATTTTCTTGGCGCCTTGGCTTTCTCAAAAGCCTTAAATCGCACCCTTATACTGCCGCCATGGGTTGAATATCGTAAGGGAGAAATGCGTTCAATACAAGTACCATTTGACAATTATTTCGATGTGGAAGCTTTGAAGGACTATCATCGGGTCATTCTAATGGCTGATTTTATGGAAGAGTTGGCACCCATAATTTGGCCGGAGGACAACCGTATATCCTTCTGTTACATGGAACGAAAAAGTTTCAGCAAAAAAGAAGACATAGCCCCAGGCTGTCATGCCAAAGAAGGGAATCCTTTTGGTCCATTTTGGGATACATATAATATAGATTTTACGGAATCTGAATTTTATGGTCCTTTACATTTCGATGTACATCACAGCAATATGCCGGAAAGATGGAATGAACGGTATCCCGCCTCCAAATGGCCAGTATTAGCTTTTACTGGAGCTCCGGCCAGTTTTCCTGTGCAAAAGGAAAATCGAGATTTACATCAATATCTTAAATGGAATAAAAAGATACGCGAAGCGGCCACTAAATTTATTAAGAACACCCTTCCAAAGGGAGCTTTCTTGGGTATTCATCTGCGTAATGGCATCGATTGGGTAAGGGCATGTGATCACATACGCGATACCCAGCAACTTTTTGCCTCACCCCAATGTTTGGGCTATAATAATGAGAAGGGTAATCTCTACACTGAACTGTGTATGCCACCCAAAGAACAGATAATACGTCAAATTAAGAGGCTTATTAAAAATGTCAAACAAGATCATCCCAAGAATGAAATACGTTCTATATTTGTAGCTTCAGATGCGAACCATATGATCAGCGAATTGAATAATGCCTTGCAACGCATGGACATATCGGCCTATCGATTGCCCGAGGACAATCCACATTTAGATTTAGCCATATTGGGTATGGCAAATCATTTCATTGGCAATTGTATTTCATCATACTCAGCTTTTGTCAAGCGGGAGCGTGATGTGAAGGGATTTCCCTCCTATTTTTGGGCATATCCCAAGGAAAAGGAACGTCAACACATGAAAGTCCATGAAGAACTTTAATACTCAAGTCAACCGCCCACCTCCGTATAGTATTAGTAATCTCAACCTAAAGCTTAAGACCGAACATTCCGAGACAACAATGGTGTTTTGATAATGGTCACCACCCAATTGAGGGGGTTTCCACAATTTATTATCATTTTAAATAAAATATATTACCGTCATACAAAATTTAAACAGGGTGTTTTTTCTTCTTTTAGTGGATTTGATTGTTTATGCTTATGGTATTGCTCTTCTAATGAACCAATTTCTGACTTCTAGCTAAATCCAGTTGAACAGCTGATACTTGTGTTAGACCTTCTCGAACGACACTCAAGTTATCTTTCCAGGCATGCAGAAGATCTCTTAATTGTTCCCATTGTGGGGCACCAAATGTACGGTGCATTGTGGAGGAAATGTGTACTTTACGGTTGGCTTGATCCAGACGGGCCCTAACCAATTTTGTTTTCAATACTTCAATGACGAAGGGTTCAACTTCATCTTCGGTGATTTGTAATTCCTTGGTCAAGGTGTCGAAACTCATTTCGGGGTTACTTTCAGCCAGCTGCATAAAAGTTAACAAACGCATTTTCTTCATGTTCTGTTCATGGTTAAGTCCCTGAGAAGTAACAAATTCTTTGTGGTCTTCATAGAATTGAATGTAGGCTGGCAACTTTTCGGAGACAAAAATCGACAACAAATCATGTATTAAATCACCCTCGAGGAAACGTACGGGTTTCAAAGCCAACAAGGGATCCAAAAGGAATGTGTTCGGATCGGCCAAAGCAGTAACAATACATTTCATGGCATCTTCACGGGCAACGCAGGCATTGTCCGATGTGTATGTACCCAAAAGTTCAATCATTACTTTGGCCGACACTTCTAGGTTTGTGTCTTTAGTAACATCATGTAGCAGGAGGTATAATTTTTGCATTTGTTCGGCAGACGGTGGGCAATTTGCAAATTGGGATTTGACTTGTTCAACGCCGCTGAATACCTCCATTACTTGGTCGCATTGTTTGGCGACTTGGACCAAATGATAGTAAACGTGATAACGCAATGGGGACGATGTATCCAAATTGTTGAACAATCGCCAAAGAGATTGAAGACACACCTTGGTCAATGCAACATTGGGGGCCTTGGTCATTTTTTCGCAGTATGCCAAAATTATGTTTTCTCCACGATCCAAGGAAATCTGCAATAAATAAACATGTCACCTTTGTTGCGATTTCTAATTTGTGCCTACTTACAGTAATCATAATGGAGACAATACTATTGAGAATACAATCAATTTGTGCTGGATCACCATCTTTGAAGCAAACATCACAGACACCAATGATTTTGTGCAAATCGTCTTCAACACCTTTGCTGGATTTTTCCGAAGAGATTTCTGCGCCCAAATTCTTGAAATATTTTCTCAATTCCTGGACCTGTACAAAAAAAATAGCAAACATTAGCATACAAAATGCCACACAACTTTGTTGTACAAGTAGTCGTAGACGTTGTCGACCAGTCACATACAAAACATAACATAACCTCAATGGCAACATTTGCGAATTCCTCATCTGGCTATTTCTTGCGTTTTGCATGTTTTCGGACATTCTAAAGTTAACTTACCTGCTCGTCCATGGACAAGTCTATAAAAACTGGTGGAGAGTTCATCATTTTGTAAGTTTCCTTGGAGTTGGCTTGTTTTTTAAACAAATTTACTGCAAAACTCAGGCACACACGTCGCTTTTTTGACGGCAGTAGAAAGAAGGGAACTCTCAACCGATTTTCGGCTAAATATTTGAGTCTCCTCTGTGTATTACATCTAGTTCGTGCGGTTCATTTCAGTGAAAAAAGTTAAAGCATGAACTTGCTCATATAATTGATTTTAGTAATTTTCTTTTTTTTATATAGCATTTTGCGTAAACATAAAAACACAATAAGAAATGCCAGTAAGATTTTTTCCTTTCCTCCTTCTCTTAAAATCGTTTCTAATAGAAGTTTTGCCGGAGTATCGCGCACAATAAACATTAAATCTAATTTAGATTGATTTATACGAATGATGTAAATAATTTATACAAATATATGCATTCTATATTCCGTTCTTCTACTAAAATGCTATATTTTCGTAATTTTATCATATTTATATTTATAATATGTAACGACGCTGAACAATGTATAGAGCCGTTCTGACGCCGACAGCCTGGGCGTTTAACGTCAAGCGACCTAATTGTGTTTTCCCACAGCACATTTTGACAGAAAAGGTGGTTTGCATTGAGGCGGTGGTGAATTAAACGTCGTCAGCCATTTTTCTATAATCGGATAAAAGAAGCATCGTCTCCGTTTTTAATCTTACATTTCTTACGTGAACTTTTAATTTTAGTGTTTAGTTGAATTTAAAAAAAAGAGAAAACATAAGATTGAAGTAGTGAAAGATATTTATTTAATGAATAAAGACTGATTCAAACAGCATTTTTGTAAATTTAAGGTAAGTTTTGTTAATAAATTCAAAAGGTCATACGTTGTGTGTATATTATTTTTCCAATGTGATGACGAATACGATGTGTGATTTCTGTGTTTTTCCCCAAACAATAAAGTGCAAAAATATCGAAAACGCAATTAAAAATCCATAGAATTTCGTTAACAAAAGTGTACAAAAAGAAAATGTTTATCGATTGAAATTATTTTTTTTTGCAAGATTGTTGAAATAAAGAAAAATTTCCATGGCATCTCCCATGAAAAAAGGGGCTATAAATGTTTGCCAATAACACATATACCTACATAAATATGTGTGTATAGTACTGACTTTGTGTGTGTGTGTGTGCCAATCTTAGTGTGTCCAGTGTGTGCGTGCGTGTTTACATTTGTGTTTGGTGGGAATTTCGAAATATAAGTCTTTCCATGCAAGTGTTGTAAAAACACGTTAAGAGAATCACAAACGGTTTTAGCCAATGGCTTATTTTGTTTGCAGTGGAACCTCTTTTCAACATTGCATATGGCATTTAATGTAAAATTAAAGGTTCAATTTTTCAAGGTGCTTTGAATTTGTTGACATGGTTACATTACCATATTTCCTTAAAAATGGGGTCATTGTTTTCTTGTAAACCACACTCTATTTGGATCCGAGAGAATTCTCTTCTCAATAATAAATTATTACTATCATGTTGTAATAATACAAAAAGCCGCAGAGACACCTACGGCGGTACAAGGACATGTTAAACAATTTCGGAATTTAGATATTCTAATGAAAATGTTATGCAATATTGTTAAATTGTTAAAAAAAAAAACACGTGTATTATTAAAAGTTCTAAATGGTGTTTTAAAACAAAAATATTAAATACTAAGTTCATTTGAAGTTTGTTATAGATTTTTTCAATCGTTAATTGTCGTTGTGAGAGGTTTTTGAGCACCACTCACCCCCACTTTTATAAACAAACTGGCAATATTCGCCATTATAATTGCCCAATGTAAATCAAAAATAATGCTTTGTTTTGTTCGTTAGTGTGTACCGCACTTTGACTCTCTTCTCTTGTAAACAGTATCTCACAAGGCTCATCGCTTGGCATTTGTCACACGGTATAAATAACATATAATTCCCGCCATTTATGACTGAATAAACATGATCTCGATTTCCGTCTTGTTGGCAGTAACTTTTGGGAATAAAGGGTTTGAATACATGTCTACAACGAATGCAAAGCTAACTCAACAATATATTGTAGCAGGTGGTTTGCCAGATGCCCATACTACAGAAGAGTTTTCAAGAAATATCGGATTTTCATTTATCCCATACTAAATTCATGAAATGTTCTTGCATTGTAGATAACTTAATAAGATATTTTCATATTTATTAGTTCCTTATCTTTAACAACTTTTATTAAACTTATGTATATCCTCTTTTTGTTTCAGTTTCAAACTTGTGAAAACACAGGCAAATCCCAGAAAAAGAAACACAATTAAACGTAGCCATGGATATCGCTACGAAAACCCAACGAGAATGTGAAGAACGCGTTGCCGAGGAGTATCTATCCAGTCTGTCGGATTTAAATTGCAACAGCAAACCGCTTATAAACATGCTAACCATGTTGGCCGAAGAAAATATCGAATATGCCCCAGTTATTGTAAAAGTCGTTGAACAACATATAGCAAAGGTTAATAGTCATAAAGTGTATTTGATAAATAGCTAGTTTGTAAGACAATTGGTATTGCTGCCATAAGACAACTTGACCGAATTTCAACACCCACCGGCGGATGGGTAGTGAAAATAAAAAAAGTTGAGTTGAGAAAATAAAGGCTTGAAAAGGCTAGTTCTGCTCAACAAAAGTGTAATGCGTAGGAGAAAAAACAAAAAACACTTGAAATGTAATTGGAAAGAATTATTTCTGGTACACTTCAATTTTGTCGATTTCGAAACTGTGTTGGCGTAAATGGCTGGCTTGGTTAGCAGCTAAAAACACACATACGAAACGGAGTAGAGTATTTCCGAAAAAATTATTTGTATCATGAAAACTATTCCAAGTGCTCCTAAGAACTGCAAACTCTCTTATAAAACCACATGCAGTTAATTTTTTAGCAACGTACATCAAATTATATGAAAAACAAATAAACAATTATCATAAACAATTGTAGTTAATTGTTTTATTTCTCATAACAAAATTTCCAAGAAACAATACACAAAATATGTTTATTTTCAAAATAAAAAACATCCTCACAGTGTAAAGTTTGCCCTAAATGAAAAATTTTATGTAATTTTTGCCCACCAAAACAGGTTCCACCAGAATTTAAATTGCCCATATTGTATTTAATCGATTCAATTGTTAAAAATGTCAAAGGCACATATGTGCAACTGTTCAGCCAATGTATTGTCAGCTTATTTTGTGGAGTTTTCGAAAAGGTAAGTAGCTTAAAAAACCCTCAAAGTAGTTTGCTGCATCACTTTTATAACCATTACTATTTTTGCTCCCTCTATCAAAATGAAGGTCAATGAAAAGATCAGAGAAAGAATGTATGCCCTGAGGCAAACATGGAATGAGGTATTTTCAGCCCAAAAACTCTATGCCTTGGATGTCAAGGTAAAGAGATTGGACAACAATTGGCCCATCACAGCAAAACAACCGTCGATACATGTTAATCCAAATTTTTTGAAAACCGTAAGTCATGATAAAATTTTCTCATAAATGAATCGACTTTTAATTGTTTGTTTTTGCAATTCGTAGGCAAATCAAGCCATACCCACAGAAATGGAGAAAATTCTACAGGATAAAACTAGAGAATTGTTGGAGTTAAAGAAACGTAAACTTGAATTGGAGCTAGAAGCCACCAAAAAACATTTGGAAGAGCAGGAAAAACAGTTTTCCAAAACTGCAGAGGGTGTCTTACCGCCTGTTGATGCCTTGGTTGTGGCCAATGCCTTGCAAACGGTTGGTATAAGGCCACCTGCCAATGCCTCCATTGCGGGGCAAGTTATGCCAGGAGTTATGGCTCCTGGTTTTATGGCAACCCCCGGTGTGGCCATTAATCCTCTAAGGCCGCCCATGTATCACCACAATTTCCGAGGTTTACGACCAAACCTACACCATCCTGGCATGATAAATGAACCAACACAACAGGTAATTTTTAGAGATAGGTATATTGAAGAATAATAATTTACTAATTATTATATTTTTTCATTTTAGAATATTCCTCCCATGGTGAATATGCCCACAGTTGCTGCTGGAAATAATGCCAATAAACCCCGCGTTCATCCCGTCAATTCGGCATTGATAAGTTCAGTGCGTCAACGTGATCCACGTTTGTTGCGTCAACAACAACAGCAGCAGCAACAACAGCAACAGCAATCTAACCAACAGCCGCCTACTGCTGCCAACGTTCCCTCAACAGCATCATCACATGGCGAACAGCAATCGGACACAAAGTCAAATAATCGCAATGATCGAGGCCACAAAAGTAGTCGCAGCAAATCACCCACAAGATCAAGCTCATCCAATTCCACAAGTGGCAGTCGCTCTTCCTCGACTCGCTCTTCCAGCAAAAGTTCCAGTCGTGACAAGGAAAGAGATCGCAAACGTTCCGATTCCAAAGGTTCATCATCATCTTCCTCCACCTCATCCAATGTTGAGCGCAAAAAGTCATCATATGCCTCATCCTACGGCAAATCAGACAAATCATCATCATCATCCACAAAATGTGATAAAGACGCTTTTGAAATTGCTCCGCTATCGAGTGCATTCAAAAGGAAATCATCATCACCCAGTTCCTCACCGAGTAAATCACGTGATTCGAAACGTTCGAATAAATCCTCTCGTTCGGGACGTAGTAAAACCAGTTCACGCAGTCCTTCACCCGAATCGGCAGCTGAAAGTTATAAAGATAGTGGATCACACAGCCGTAGAATGTCCACAACATCATCATCATCGTCAATGTTGGCTTCATCGCCGGAAAAACAACGTTTACCCAAAATCACCGATATGGAAATGACGGATATTGGCGGCGAGGATGTAAAAACCAGCATTGTAGACACAACAACAGCTACAGCTGCTGCTGCTGCTGCTTCGTCTGCAAATAATACAGACAAAAGTAAGACATGTCACCTTCACTACAAAACTATTGCATTAATTTTAATGATAATTTATTCGAAAGTCAGAAATTTGTTATTTCTTCACATAATAACCCCAAAGAGTTTTGTTAGGTATTCTGTTTGTGTTTCTTCGAGAGTATAGGGGGTGGTGATATTATTTTTACATCTTTTTCTCTTTTTCTCTATGGATGCCTCAATGGCTTTTCAGTTGTTG